TAGATTGTATAATAGCTTCCTTCTTCCAGGAATATTTTTCACGATCCTCGTAATTGAGAAGCTCGGAAGGAAGAAGACAATGGCACTGGAGTTCATCATTTTTGTGGTGTCCATCATCTTTCTTTTTATTTGCACTTCCAAGTAAGGTTCATGAATAAGTTTTAAAAATTATGCTACAAATGTGAAATAAAAAAAGATAAATGTTAAAAGTTGATTATGGAGTTATATGCTAAATATGTTGCATATAAACCATTTTATTAAATTTTACACATGAAAATTTTCTTCCAGTCGTACATGGCTCACTTTCATCCTGTTTGTGGCTCGTGGAATTATCTCAGGAGTGTTTCAGGCTGCATATGTCTACACACCAGAGGTTAGTTCCCTTACATGGTTATTTATTATATTTAAGTAAAAAAATTACAGAAAGCAGTAATCTTTACATAATCTTTTGATTGCTTTGTATTTATCTCTTTGTGATGTTTTATACCAGTAGTCCTTATTTATTTATCTGTATGTGCTTTGACCAATTTGTCAGAAAGTACAATTTGAACTATGCATCAGTGTATGTACATATAAACATGAAGTCCATTAAAGCTTTCACTGAAGTTCAAATTAGCTCAAACTGTTACAGTTTTCATTGAATTTCAGACTAGTTTAAAAAGCGAGCAGAGTCCATTGTGACCAGCACAGAGGTGTAAAAGAATAGCTTAAAAAGCTTATGTCACTTGAATGAGTATTTTCCCTGATTACAGGTATATCCAACATCACTGCGAGCCGTGGGTGTGGGGACATGCTCTGGTATGGCCCGCTTTGGTGCTATGTTAACTCCGATTGTTGCTCAAGTCATGACACGTACCTCCGTCCATTTGGCCACTGCAACATATGGCATTGTGGCCATATTAGCTATAGCTGCTGCCTTGATGTTGCCCATTGAAACGAGAGGCAGAGCAATGTCGTAGACCAAGAACCTAAAATGTCTTGTAGGAACCACAACCAGTACTTGGCAGAAATCTGCTGACTACACTGAAATGCATTTATTTTAGTTTGATTTTTATCATTTTATCATGGACATTATTTTTTATTCTTGCGATAATTATATATTTAACTCTTATTTTTTAATTCTAAGGTACAAGGGACAAAAATTTAACTGGAGTACTCTTGCAAAAACAAATGGGGTTTTCAATATTGTATTTTCTCTAATATTTTATATATTTTGTATGGAAATATTTCATACATATGGCACTTCTTGTTTTTCAACTTTTTTTTTTTTTTTTTTTTCCTCTTTCTTTTTTAATGCCATTTTATCTATATCTGTTTATATGAGAGAATTTAGAATTGATATCCACCATAAATGTATACTCACATACTAGGACATATATACCAATTAAGCTTCTTTATACTCAAGAAGCCACATTCTATTTTATGCTAAAAAATAGAATAACTTAGTAAGGTCAGACATGGTTACACATCACCTTGGCTTCATAATTGCCAGAGATTGTATGTAAATCATTTATAGTATGTTGCCTTTCTCAGACCAGAATTCCCTGTACCATCTCCCCCTCCCTCAGTGCAGAGAGGCATCAACTTTTTAAGGGATTGGTTCTTGAATTTCTGTGAAAGCCTGTTATATCAGAGGATTGCAGTCTTTCAAGAAGTGTATATTTAAACCAAAGTTATTCCTTTTTATCGGCAGTATATTTACACACTTTAGAATTACAGTGAGCATAGCGAACATGGTATTTGTGTATTATTTTACAAATATTTCAGTATGAATATGAATTTGATCTGCATGCAGATTATGAATTAAAAAGAAGTTCTCAGCATTACTGAGATTGAAATTTTATCAAAGAATTTTTGTTTTTCACACTGTTGGCTATTTTTATTTCAGAACTTTGTTATACATTTTCTGTGGATGGTTGTTACATTCCTGGATTGTGTATCATTTTTTATCTGTTGAATATATAATATTTATTTAAATACTTTGTTTAAATCACCATATATGAGGACAATTTACAATGAAATGCTGGATTGAAATCTTTAATTTGCAGTTAAAACCTTTTCTTTTACTGATCCTGCAGTTTTGTATAATTTTGAAAGTCATGTCAGCAGCATGAAACGTTTCTGGATTCGCAATTCTTGAGCAGCTAGAATCGATATTGTCATACATTTAAAATTTCCTCAGCTATTTCATGAGCCTGTGCTATCACCATTACAAAACACTTTCCTAATCCACAATTTTTTTTTTAATGAAAATCTCTTATTAAAATGTGTTTTGTGTTGTACATAAACTTTTCCTGCCTATACACTAGTCCACAAATGGAAGAACCTTTTCAAACTACTGTTTGTAACCTGTTTATATCACTAATCTGAGAGATTATTACCAGATACACAAACTTGTACAATTATATATGGCCTAAAAAGAAGCCTATGGATGGCATATTTAGGTATATCATCAACCCATGAAATAAGTCCATTATTTTTTTTATTATTATTATTATTATTATTTTTAATCTTTAGTTTAGGGGTTTTCACTTATTTGTCATCTGCCTGAAAAAGGGAAAAATGCTGATACAAAGGGAGGAAAGGTATGCTACTGTTAAGTCCTGTCCACAAGAGATGCAGTGTCTGCATAGGCAAACAGACACCAAATCACAATCCAAAGCACTAAGTGGACAACTCATGGGCAGACCATGAAAAAGGTTGTACTGAATGCTGAGGTAAAATGCCCAGATTCAAATCCTGACCTAGTCTGCCGGTGGAGACAAAAAAGTATACCCTCTAGTGGACACACAAAGTGCCCAGGATTCACTGCTAGACCTGTTAATATTGTTATCAGAGCTGCTCCTGTGATTTTCCTTATGTCATCAGCACTCATGCCTCCCACTCTGATCTGGTAATAGTTTTACCTATGCAAGCACTGCCCATCATGTGGATGTGCCCTTATTTGGTACCAAGCTGACACCTCATTAAAAAATAGTTTTACCCCAATGCCGCTGGGGACAGCATGTACATACATGCCATGCCCACTGTTAGTTCGGGTAATTGTCTTTACACACAAATGGTTAGTCACCAAGGAGTCCATTACTAGTACTACCTATCTCACCTGTTTACCCTTTTCCTTGATTTCTGGAAATATTCTCTTATTTTATATTGCTATTAGTAATGTTAATAACATTGTAGTCATAATAATGTCTGTAATAGTTACACCATCGATATTGATAACATAAATAAAGGAAAAGTTGTCAGGTGAGCTCTATATTTGACTTCTTGGTGGCTATGCACATTTGGAGCCATCCATGTGTGAGACACAGCATTAAACAAAACTACAGTGAACATTACATTTTCCTGGCAGCAATGGGTTAAACTTGAAAGATTTACGATTCACTTGTTATCTTCTATCAGACATCCATGGACAATTGGCGAATAAATACAGGATTTTTATGTAATAATATATGAAAACTAATTAGCTGGTATAAAATATATATAATAGAAAAGAGTCATATGAAGATATACTGAAAAATTATAGCTTTTACTCAATTTATTTTCTGTTAGTGTTATCAAATAAAAAATTCTTTTACTATCCCCATCAGATCTATAAACAGATTGGTGAAAAATAAAGCAACCTAAGTTGTGCCCATACATAATTTTGTAGAAACTTTTTAACATTATTCATAATAAAACAATAATTATAAATTTATATGTATGTATAAATTGTATTCATAAATATGCTTTTTTAACACAAAAAGCCATTTTGAGAACTAGTAAACAATAACGGAAAAACAAAGAAACATTAGAAATGCTCTTCATATACACCTATATTTCTCCTATACATAAAATCTTAATTTGACTAGAATTTCAACTCTTTGACCCAAATCCAATTCAATGGAATGTGTGAAGCTCTAAGTCGATACTCTATGCACTCAACCACTTTTCTCATTTAGAATAACTTTCCAATCCTCAAAACATTATGCAGTTAGACAAGACTTCCATCTATAATCTACCCATCTAACCTCACAGCAAAAAATATATCTCCACTCTAAAGAATGATATAAAGTTTAACAAGACACTTTTTGTTGTTAATTTATGCGGTTATATAATATATGTCAAATCAACAAGGATACAGGCTGATGTAATAAGAATTATTAAATACTGACACTCAAATCATCTTTGTAAAATAAAATCAAAATTTCCCTCTCACCTGTAAAACCATTATAATATCCTTAAAAAAAAAAAAATGCTCTGAACACAACTTCGTATTCTATTTGAATTCTTGCAAAAAATGGTAATATTAAGCTGGTCATTTACAGATTACAATAAAAGAGCCTAAAACTGTATCCATATAAGCACTATTTTGATACATCAAAAATATAAATGTGTCCTACATAAATACAGAAGCTACATAAAAAATCAGGCTTTTGTCTAAAGTGTAAATAAATGCAATAATTAATTTCTCTCTTAAAGAAGAAAATAAATAAAAATATCACTGTTATACCATACTCAGACGTGCTCTTTCAGCTGAGGAAGTCATTAATTTCAGAGGAACTTAGTTGCTTCACTCCCGGTGTTGCAGGTTTTGAGAATGCCATGGAATTCATGGGTTGCATGGGTGACATCATGGAACCAAAGGAATTCCTAGTGTTTGCATTCATGACTGCCATCTGGTTCATGCTCACTGGTTTCTGCTGCGATGGCAACAGGTTATCGAATGCTGACATGTTTGGTTTTTGCATTGGTGTATTTTGAGCTGGTACCTGATTAGGCCAAGAATTCATTCCACCCATGGGCTGGAACATGTTACCAGTTGTCCCCATAGAAGTCATGCTTGAAGTCATGTTTGAACCAACTGAGTTCATGAGGGTACCATTGCCCGTCATGCCGCTGAATGCTGATGGAGTGTTGTTCATGTTATTCATCATTCCCATGGGTGCAGTCGTTCCCATCATCCCCTGGTGTCCATTTACTGATACCGGGACTGCAGGTTGGTTGCCCATCATGTTCAAGTTGGAATTCAACAGCGATGAGGTGAGGTCGCGGCTATGTTGTACTGGATTTGTCAGGGAAGAGGGCGGATTCTGTGACTGTGGACTAGTGATGGGTTTGTTGACAGCATTAGCAGGGGGTGGAGGGGAAGGTAATAAGGGGGGCTGCTTGCTCAAGGTGTTCTGTAACCCCTGTTCTTTAACCATCCTGTTTAGTGAAAAAGAATTCCTCAGTTAGGCTTGTGATAACAAAAGAAGTGATCAATATAATACACTCTATACTTCAATTACTTTAAAATCTACACAGTAATAAAAATCATAATGAAAACCAACAGAAGGAGTCTGTGCTCTGTCCAAATCAAATAATTTTCTTATGAATGAGAATAAAAATAAAGTAATATAAAATGAAAACATACTCAATACTTATGGACCTTAAATTACTAAAATAAGAGAGAGAATGCTCACTTCTGCTTTTCCTCCAGAGAAAGAGTAAGACTTGAGGGCTTGGAAGTCGATGCTGACACTTGGTTGGGCGCTGGGCTAGGCATCTGGGGTTTATTACTGGCTGTTCCTCCACCTGTGAACTGGTTCATCCCAAGGCCAGCAAACATGTCACAACTTGCATCAACAGCTGATACCGGTGCATTATCGTTTCCATTTATTTTTGTTGGCATTGCCATCTGCAGTGCTCTGGAAATGGACCAAAATTATAAACATAAAATTCAATGTAGATCAAAATTTTGGTTAATGCATATGCAAGATAAATTAATATCCATGTGTGAAAGCATCTCAAACAGTGAAGTCGATATTCACTCTCATACGGACTTACTTTTGCTCATCCTTTATGGAGTTTAGCTGCTCTAATTTAGTTCTGTGTTCAGACTCCACTCTTTCCGTCATGTCCTGAAAAAAAAGTTTGAAAATATTCCAGATGAACAGATATTACCTAATAAAAAAAAGAAGAAAAAAAAAAAAAATGGAAATAATTAAATAAACACTGTAATAAATTAAAAGGAAATCGACACTTCCTACTTTTCACTCACCTTAATGAGGACCATGACTGCAGAATGTTGGGTTGGAGTGAGTGAGTTCTCAATGCTTAAGGGGAAGAGGAAAGGCAGGACTCTGGTTGCGAGGATTTCCTTGGATATGCCGAGCTTCTTGTGGTTTAGGGCTACTTTGAAAATTCCTGCAAGAAAAGTAATATATTATTAACCCATTAGATCTGAGTGACATGAGTTTATGTTAAAACTTGAGAGCCAGGTGATGGGAATATACCATCATGAAAAAGTTTGCCTGAGAGCCAGGGTATTCATGTTCTCGTCCTGAACACAAAGGCTCTTACATGATTTCCACTGGTAAACGAGGGTGGAATTTACCAAATGTGAGCCATGGCTGGAAGAGCCAGCTCCAGGGAAGATACTATTTCCATGCTCAGCTTCTTATTTCTGCCAAGTGGCACAGGGTGTGTTATAGAAAAATGAATGAGACACACACACCAAAATCAAATAACACTATATTATTATTTACTAATGCTCCTGGACAGAGTTGTAGATTACCATAAGAGGAAATATGGAGTCTGATTAAAGAAAACAGTCTCTTACCATCTTGATACAGAATAACAAATGACAAATATAGACCTTGGCAAATGGCAAAAAGCACTTCTGCAGAAAAAGAGATAACAATGGTGCAAAGAGGAAGCAAAGAATAATAATAATAATAATAATAATAATAATAATAATAATGATAATGATAATGATAATGATAATGATGATGATGATAATGATAATGATAATGATAATGATAATGATAATGATAATGATAATGATATAATAATAATAATAATAATAATAATAATAATAATAATGCTTTTATCAACATTACTACAACTGTCACAGACACTGTTATTAACCTTTTTTCAAATCAAGAAATAGGTTAAACAGGAAATCTAAACACTTCACGAATAACTATGTGTACAAATGTAAAAATGGCATCCCCGTGAAAGTGGGTTAACAACTCACCCACAATGGCCATAACCACTGGTGCTTCTCTTGATGGTATCTGCTCCAAGAATGGGAAGATATCATCCATGACCAACCATCTGTCGAGGTGCTCTAGGATCTTGCCCACACACACAAGGCAGTTTACACGAACCTGAAAGACAGAATGAAGTAGACTTCAAAGGTTTTTTTTTCATGTAAGACACCTTCTAAACTTCTTTAGAAACCCATGAACTGGTGCTTAGTTATATCTATATATTTCTGCATTGCAACTTATATTTCCAATCAACTAACTGATGGGAATATTTCTGCATATTTTTAGTGCTTTCTTGTCATCACTTAGATATTGATTTTTTATTTAAGTGCATTAACTATATGTGTGAAATGAATCAATACATTCCTGAGAAAATAATGAGAAAAAATTTATATTTACTACAGAACTCAAATTATTATCAATGGAAATAGAGAATGCATGTACTTTTCACATGTTCACCAGAATTTCTTCTATTCCATATACTCAGGTCACCTCTATTTCCACCAACAATGTTCTTTTATCTTCATAAATTATCAAAGAATGGTGCAAATATTTCAGAAGCTGCTTAATCAGGCCTTGGGTAGAGGATATATATTAGCAAGAGAAATCTAAATCGTGGCCTATAGCCATCATAACACTTGATCTGTTGCATACGGCTATATGTGTGGCAAGGTGCTAGAGCGTGTCGATCGGGAAGTTCCACTACTTGTAGCAGACTCCCGCTCCCAACGGTATAATGAAATCACTGGCATCTATGGCACTGAACGGTTTCTAATACTGTCATCTAGGGGTTAAAACATACCGACAGATAGCCTGTTCCGAGACAAAGCTTCTTAATTCTGGGCAGGAGAGCATTCTTCATGGCATGGTTTTCCACCAGATGTGCACAGGTAGGAATAACACTCAAGCACAGCTCCTGAATCTGTTGAGTATCACACTCCAGAGCACGGTACAGGAGCGGCAGGGCGTCACTCCTAACATCCTCTGCAGGAGTTTTTCCCAGGAGCAATTCCATCTTTTGCATTAGTTGTAACATGACCTAAAAATTGGAATGGAGGGGAAGGGATTTAAAAGCATGTACTATTTCCACAAATACTCTCATATCAAAACAAAACCTTTCATTATCATTCAGCAGAGTGGAGTTAACATTATGTACAAAATATGTAGTCACACCAGAGTACACAACTAAGAAAAACAAATCTCAAATCTCAAGTTGCAGTACCTGGACAGGCTCTGTGAGCTTCATTATGGGCTTCAAATGTGGCAAAATGTGTTCCACAAACTCCTCTTTTGTGGCTCGTTCAGCAACCAACAGGATAACAGGAAGTACAAATGGTACCATGGTTGAGTTAATACATTCCTTCACCAAGCTTGGTACAATTCTGGAAGAGAGAAAAAATGCTACAGAATTCTTAAATGTCATAATATTTTGTTTAAAAAAAGACTTAAATTCTTGGATGATAAAACAAATTACTGTAAACTAACTCATATCTATTAAAATGAAGCCAAGAATCATTACTCTATACACACAAATACCAAACTAGATAAGAGAAAACTTTCCTTAAAAATATAGCAAACAAGGAAATAAATAAATATATGAATAATTAAAGAAATACTAAAACTAAAAAAGTTTCACAAATCCTCTCTCACCTTAGCACACACACTCTGTGGGGCAGCTGGGGTATGATTTGGGGCAAACTCTTGTAAAACTGTGACTTCTGCATGTTATCCCACTGAAACATCTGATCCAGGTAACTCAGAGTCTTCACACCAACATCATCAAAGTACGGCACCTGCAAGTTTTGTTAGTCTATTACTGTCACTTTTAGTATATTAGATTGGAGGGGAAAAATCATCACATAAAATCCTGCCTATTGCAAAATAATCATAGCACTCCTCAATGGCTCTAACTAACAATCAGATCCATACACATGCTGTACCTGGAAACTAATTTGTTTTAGACTACAATTTTGGTTCTTTAAACAGGGAAGATGATCTCAACACTGATCTGAAAGTGTGTATAGTTGGAATTTAAGGGAATACAAGAACATGAAACAGTACCAAATGCTTTGAAACTTCTTATTAATAATACACTTGTTACAATTATTTGTACATTCGAATAAGGTATAAATAGCTAAAAATAAAGGAGATAAACTTATAGGAGTATGGATTCAGGAGATGAACCAACCTTTGATAATTGCAATGCATCTGGTCGAAGCTGTGGGGTAGCGTGTAGTAAGAGGCGCACTTGGTCTCTTATGCCATCTGGCACTGACTGTAGCTTTAGGCTGTTTGGATTTTTATACTGTGGGAGAAAAAGTTAGAACTGAAAGTAAGTACTTGTTATTTTATATTCTGTGTTTCTTCCTATGAAACAAATAAAAAGAAAACACAATATCAACAGAAGTTACTGGGTGCCCTCACACTCCCAAATGAACTCAGCTTCCCAAACCAAAACAAACCACACAGCCCTCACTTCACAACAGTTCCTCTTGAAGGTGCTGAAGTCCTGGTTGTTGTGGAAAATTGGACGACCTTCATTGAAGAGAGCATAGGTTAAGACACCCAGGGGAAAGAGGTCAGCAGCCGTGTCCAGGGTGTGTGTGAGGGCATACTCAGGGGCCAGATAGTCCAGGTGGGGCTGGCAGTTGGGGTGCCGCCGCGAGTCGTACTCCTCGAAGGGCCAGAAGGGCTGAGAGGGAAAAAGAACCAACCAAGATGAGATGATGAGAATAATCAGAGAGGTGGGAGGAAGCTGAATTTCGATAATGGTAACTGACTGTGATAAGAATAATGTGAGATATGATGAGAATAAACTGAGATTAGATGATGGGAATCAATGAGAGATGAGATTATTAACCCTACAATGATGGCACCAGAAACCTCTGGGCGTCACTTATTCCAGTGACTTCTGTCAGCCATCCAATCTTTTGGCCTGGGAGTTTGCTATGTATAGTGGAACTTAGGTGTTATGACTGGCTTCAGCAAGTCATGACACCTAAGGCTGTACCCGTCATGAAAAGTAGTTTTTTCATGACAGCTATAGGCGTGGCCGGCTGTAAGAGGTTAACATCAATGAAGAGGAGATATGATGGGAATCAAAAGGGAATGAGATAATGGAAATAATCAAAAACGAGTTATGTATTACTATGGTTGATATCACTCAAGAAATAGAAGTTGACTTATCATGTATATCTATACATTACAAAATATCTATTTCAAAACTAAGTGATAACCAAGAAAAGAGGAGGAAAAGAAAAAAATTAAAGAAAAGGAAGGCAGTAGTGAAAGAGAGAGGAATTAAAAGTATTCAAAAGTCTAATATACATCACACAAAAAAAGTATAGAACATATACATACAGGCTGGTCTGCAGTAGCCTGATTAGCCACACAGAAGTCAAATCCGAAGAGCTTCCAAGCACCTTGATGGTTCAACACAATGTTTTCAGGGCAGATGTTACGATGGACTGTTTTGACTGAATTGTGAAGAAATGCCAGACCTTCACTGACCTATTGGGACATAAAAACATTACTAGCTGTAGCATAAAATCAAATACAACAATAAACAGAAGACACACTTCTAATGTGAAACATTCAACACAATCTAGACTCCCTTTGTAATGGTAACACCAAAAAGGTAACTCTTTTCACAAGTCAAAATTTGTACTTATAAATTTTCAGTACTAAACTAACAACTGACCTTCAAAAATAACTGACAGATCTTACACAAATATCACTGGGATTTCCAACTGTTTACTGACACTTTTAGTAAAGAAATACAGATATTGGCAGAATATATCAAATAAATACAACACTGATATTCGTACCTGCACAAGACCATATTTAATTTCAACATCATATAGCTTGTAATCCTTGAATACAGGTGGTGTGGGAACAGGCATATTCTCAGTCTGACCAAGGACATTGGCCAGCGATGCAAACACAGGCTCTGTTGCAAAAGCTAATGTTTCTCTCGATTCTTCAAGAGGATGCTGGACTGTCAAGACCTAGAAATTAAAGTTGCATTGTACAATAAGATGGTTTTAGTAACTAAAGAACATAGCTCTCTTCAATTTCTCTCCTATAATTATTTGCCCAGTTAGCAACTGCCCTTAGAAGCTGAGAGTAATAGAACTAGCTTTTCATAAAAGAGACAAATCTTAACTTCTACAAAAAAACCCAAAAAACCTATCAATATCCTCAATTCCTTGCTGGAAAAAGCCTCTAACTCGGGAGAAACCCATCAACCATACCTGGGGATGTCTCAGCCTCGTTAACTGAGACACGCCTTTCCTCAGCTTATCCAGCATGGCCTCCCTCTCCTGCTTGTCCCACTTGTCCAACTGACGCTTCTCAAACAGAAATATGGCGGCATCCTGCTTTGTGGACTTCTTATAACCCTTGTATATCTTCCAAACCAAGCCTGGAATGATATACGGTGCATAGAGGAGTGTCTTTTACAAATCATTTACAAAAATGAGTCTTCTAAGACCTTTAGTTCTATTATTGTTATGATGTGTAGATGTAAACTACCAAGAAATTTAATAATTCTTATCTTCAAAGAAAGCATTTTAAATCTTTTGTTGATATCATCCACAAAAGATCACAAATCCTAGAAGATATTCAAGTCATACTGCCAATCCTGTCAGCATAAAAATTAACAAGTGCATAAATAAAATAAAATAAAACAGTATTAACAAAATGAACAAAAAATGGGAAAATGCTGTACTCATTTTTTTATATTTTTGTGAAATATCTCTGTACATAGATGGCTCTGTTAGTCCTGATTTCACCTTTCCTTGAATTGGCGGGAAAAAACATATTCTTACTAGTGCTATAAATATAGATGGTTTTATTTTTAACAGCAAATTAGGATAACGTTAAATATTTTTGTAAATCGATGAAAAGAGTGAACGGGCGAGACAGGCAGTACTCGAAATTGGCTCACTGGTGACTTAGTACAAGTGTGGCCATCTATGCATAAAAACAATCTAACAAGTCGACTCACAGTGGGCATGGCATGTACATACATGCCATCCCCTGCGGCAATGGGTTAATCTTTAAAAAAAATAATAATAATGATGATACTAACCAGGTCCAGCAGAGGCAATGTGCTGAGTGGCTTCAAATTCTCTCGTCACAGGGTTTCCAGGCAGGTAATTGGACACCTGTGAAGCAATCTGTACAGCATTTGAAACTGCACTGTTGGCCGCACTGCTGACTGTAGAGCGGAGCTTGTTCAGCATGGACTCCATCCTGAAAATTTGTTACTGTCAGCCAATGCAATATAAAATCAGGATATTTTATAACAAGAAACAACCAACATACCTATTTCTACGATTTCACAAAATACTTGAGATACTTATCATCAAAAAAATATAACTGAAATTAACTAAACTAGACATAACAGATCCATAACCAAAAGTAAAATTTATATAAAAAGAAATCACAATGAAAGTAAAAAAATAAAATAATAACAATAATAATAATAATACTAATTTCAAATACCAGTAGTCAACACAGAGCAGACAAAAAGCAGGACAGTAATTAAAGCAAGACTAACAAAGAAATGGACACAAAAAATGAGACAAAAGTAGAAGAGAGAAAGTGCCAAAAGGGAAAGCCAACATGGAAAACTCTTTCAACTGAAACACAGGAAAAGAGAAGCTCGAATAACATTAGATAAATATATAAAACAAGAAAGTAAAATGCAAGCCAGAACAAAAATTCAACTACAAAGAAACCTTCAAAGAATAAATCTTAAAAAAGAAGAAAAAATTACTGAAGATTTTCTAAAAATATTGACATTAGCTTTGCCGTATATAAATATTAATAAATCAAAATGCAGTACATGGCAATACAGTACAAAAAGCAAGTTTTCTAAGTTCCATGATGATGATGATAAGAATGGCAACTAAAATCCCTATCAATATTTGTCTTGATTTAAACCAATAGCATTCTCTTTACCTAAAAGCCTTTCTGTAGCTTTAATAACTTCCATTTGTTCTACTCTTAGGAAAAAATCTGTAGCCTATTGAATGCCATTCGTAATACATAATTCCAAGTACCATTATGACTTATTCAGAAAACGGTGGAGGAAAAAAAGATAAATCAATAAATCAAACAAATGAATAACTGTGTATCTTAGGTGGTGGCCCTAACGAATCCAGAATGTGCATCTTTCTCCGTCTAAATGTCACGCATGTCAGCATATGTGCAGGTCAACTGCCATTATTCAAATAGAAATGGCCTTGCTGGGCATACATGCAGCATTGATGAGCAGGTAGCACACAAAACCTTTATATTTTGATGTGTACAACATGTGCGTCTTGAAACACATGAAGAAGGAATTAATTAGACTTCTGTTCACAATAGAGTTGATGTACCATGTCTACACATCTATAAAATAGATTACTTTATCTAGTTATTTGTAAGTCAAACATGCTGCTTTGGACATGCTGTATTTAACTTAAAGTACCAATTTATCGCTTACTTGTAGCTTGCGAAACAGTGTATGGTATTCTCTATTCTTTATTCTCTTTATATCAATGCTATGGCTCTGAAGTCTTTTATCCTCAAACACATCAGATTTTTTCAATAGCAAGTCATGGAGCAAAAGCTCACTCTGTCCCTTCAGAAACTGTCTGTCTTCAACATCCTCCTGTGGGGCCACATATAAGAGACAGACCTGCTGGTTGCATATGTCAGATTTGGCGAGTCCCTAGGTTTATTCCTCTCAAGCGTGAAATGCAACCTTAACAGGTGTGCTTTATTTACACAAAAAACATCTCTTTTAGTACATTCATGAATTCCTTAGCCACACTAGAAGTATAGTACTTTAACAGACAGAGCACTGATCAGCATTTACCTCACTCTTCTTTTTTTTTCTCTTCTTTTAATATGTAATTAACTTATGTGCCCCTACAAAATCCTACACATACTTTCTTTTTTCATTCTACAAGACTGGAGATAGTCAAACCCACCAAACATGGATGAGCTTTTGAAGTATGAGAAAACTTCTGAGAAAATACTGAGAAGGACAAGCAAGCACATAGACAGATGGAACAGAACCTAACACCCTCTAATTTTGCCAGAATCTTTGTATGTACATTGATCTAGTATATGGTATAATAGGGAAAACTAGAAAGTAACAGAAAAAAAAAACACAGACCACACTAAAATCCACCTGCCAGGACAGGAGAACTAAATGCTGCTACGATAGCTGACCATCTACTAGAGATGATCATCTTTTAGCATAGTTACCGAGTTCTTTCCATAATTAATTCCTCCTCCACAATTCACCGTCTTGAAGCTGATTTGGAGGAAGTGGATGGCAACAAAACTGACAATTCTCTTCCATCCATTTTTTGCACAGACCTCATCATACAAGCCTTGCTGCTTTACCATTATTGATGAGTCCCATGAGTACACCTATTAGTGTATTTACTTTCCTGCAGTTTACCTTTCTCTTTGCATTATGTCTCAAGTAGCACTACAGACTCTAATGTGCATTAAATCCCTTTTTGAATGTTCTGACAACCAAAGAGTGGTATATTTTTCTATACTATAAACAAAATTTTGGCAACAAAAGAATGGATCAGCAAAAAGACAGGTGATGAATTATAGGAAGCCCCTGTATAAACAATTCATGTGTCACCTTGATTCAACTGCCATGGCCTCAAGCAAAATGTTAACAAACTATAATATACATACATATACCAGACCAAAGAAAAGAAAAGAAAATCACTTTTTCTATAAATTACCCTTGATAGCCTTAATACCATACAAAAACAAAATCTCTTGTATAAATTCCAAAGCATCCATAGATATTAACAATGTTTGTGTCTTACTGCATTGACAAAATATACCAGAATGATTAGGCAAACCAACAATGCCTAATGCTATCCATTTACACGGATAAATACTGGTATGCAAGACCTGTAAAACCTGTAGCAACAATACCGGGTCTCTTCTATCTTTCAACAAAAACAATTATCTGATCAAAAATCCACTGAACTTATTAACGTTTTTTTTATCGTGAAAACACCTCCACCTGAGCAAAACACACATTTCCCTAGCAGAGCCCACGAGAAACAAAAGACAACATTTTCCCCATTTACAAAGCACTCTACACATTTTCTCATTATGTTCATATTTTCATTTTATTACAGGCTTTTATTTTCAAAATGCTGTACTTACACTTTCCGGTCCATTTTGCTTTCCCAGTGACATGTATGAGGCGGACACTAGTAACTGTAGCGCAAGGGTGGGGTTCACTGCCTTTGCTCTGACTGTGGTTGTAAAGTGTTAGTATGAAGCTGCAGGGATGTTAGAAGAGACATACAATAAAGGAAAATAATAAAGGAAAATAATAAAGGAAAAGCAACAAACAAAAGGTATTAACTCACTCATTCACAAAGGTAAACTAAAGGTTAATCTTTTTGTAACTTATTTTTTCTATTCTAGATTCTGTTTCTGGAGATTGTGAATCTTCCAGATTTTTTCTTTTGGTTTTCATATGAGTTTTCATTCAATGAGAGTACAAATCTATATTTTGTTGATCACTTATTGAAATGTTTGAAGCTTTTCTAATTACATTCTCTATCAAATCCATGGTTTATTTGGAAATGACTCTTAACACTAATTTCTGGATGAAAACTATGTCTCTGAAAGCACTCGCCGTGTTTCGAATGAATCGAGCACTCATTTCCTTCACAAAGGAAGCACAGCTGCAATATCGGCCGTGAAAGCTGGGGAGGGCATGATCAGTATCAGGGAAATTGAGGGGTAAAAGCAAATGATCAAAGTAAAACTTTCAGTAATTTAGTTACTACAAAGCACATTCATAGCAAATAGGGTCTGCAAAATCTTCACTTCATATGTTCTGGCAGTAAATATCTTGCCTTCATAATTCTTTACCTTGACCAATAAATTGTCAATTAGTCATCAAAATCTTCAACATCAATGTTGGCAGGAACTGCAACTACTATCTGCCGCTCTTTTCTTATACTACCATGATATTTTGCATAGTAAAGGCGAGACAGCCCTTATACACAACCTTGCTATGATGGAACTTATATGAATTTCCTTTGGGCCCAGCTTCTACTGTCAGGTGATTATCTATTACAAGTCTTATAGGCTCTGTCACGTCATGGCCAAGTGCAATTCCTATTAGCTCATTTGATTTCCCTCACTTACATCATCTGCTACAGTTTTGTCCAACTGTTTAGTCACTTCCTCGTTTACATGTTATTTTCTCTCTCTGTTGGAAGAGTACATATCACGGAGCAAATGGAAATGTTGAGCTTTTCGTCCTCTCTTCTACCCATTTTGTTAGTTTGCAAAGGAAATGCTATAGAAGAAAAGCGTCTTAAAGAGTTACGTTCTATCTGACCTTGCAATCAGGCAAGGTCAGATTCTTCATTTTTGTGTTAAGCATCATTTCCAACAATACCAAATCCATATATGTTCACTTCCTTGTTTTCTATTCATGACCAAAACCTACTTACATATTTCTTGGACACAGATACTCAAATAAATGACCCAAGTAAACGGTATCACAATTAATGACCAATATACTGTTAACCTTGAAAATGAATTTAATTCAAGGTCTCTGCTCCATATATTTCACGATTTTAACACTTCGAAACAATTTCCAATAGATACGTGGCAGGAAGAGGCCCGCGCATTCCTTAGTGATTTCAACCAAAACCTTGAATGAGTCATAGATAAATGACAATACAGTAAAAAAAAATCTGTCACGCCCCATAAACGTCTCATTGGCATCAAAACACCTGTCAATCACCCACGGATCTCACTTCCTCAAACGGAATTTCTCGCTATTTCCTGCAAGATCAGTCCCTAAGGACCCTAAAAAGTGGATTTACCGTCGCCTACGAAGCGAAAAGGAGCCCAAAACAACGTAAACCTCAAGATGATGTCACCTGTTGGAGGAGGCGATGTTTACGTCCCGACCAGCTGATCGTCGCACACCTGGCGGCGGAATCGGAAACTAACTCTGGCCGCGTTCGGTTCGAGCTCCGGACGAGGCGCTCGACTCCGCCTGCGAGGGACGTGATTGGTCAGCTGGTCGCGTCTCCACCAATCAGAGGCCTCGAGATTTCAGCGCGCGTTCAGTTCGCCGAGTAAGCGAACGCGCCCGCCAGTGCTACCATTCGCGGCGAAGAATTTCGGTCAAGGTACGGTATGTCTGAGGCACGAAACGGTATATTAATGTCTCACTGGTTCATAATAACGCAGCGCATAAGGTGATGTATGTATATTAAATTTAGTAAAAGAAAAAAACAAGATAAAACTGATTTTATGTTATCTGGGAACAGAAAACGTTTTTTAGAATTAAGGAAATCGAATTTTGTGAGTTTTCTTGTGAATAAATACAGTGAGTTACTTAGTAGGTGCCTTTAGCTATAACATAAAGGGCAGAAATAGTTTCTATGGGGTACTATTGAAACAAGGAACTTAACAGCAGACATACAAATACCAACCCTACCATGTAATATGTAATAGAACGATACATTCTGAAAAAAATATCAACTACCTGCCGAAATTTTTAAAGGAAGTTCACACAATTGATAAAGAAAAATGAAACCATAAATTCCCAGGTCGTCCTCGAAGTCGCACTCGAGGTTGACAGTCTCCCGGCCGGCAGTAAAAGCCTCGCGAGTGGCGGCGAGGAGTTCGAGGCGGTCAAGATGTCCGAGGTGTGTCTCGGGTGCGAGTGCAACTACTTCGAGTTCATTCAGAAGTTCTACAAGGACAATGAAGCCAGCATTGCGTACTTACGAGATCACGGGGTCCTGCCCTTGGGGGTGAGCTGCCCCCGCTGCAATAAGCCGTGCCACTACCGGGCGGAGAGGCACACTTGGTACTGCGGCGCCTACAGGAAGATCGCCAAGACCAAGAGGAGGAAGCAGTGCTACTTCAGCGTCAGTGATTTCAAGGGTTCCTTCCTCTCCGGCGCCAAGATAGAGCCCTACAAGGTCATTTGCTTCGCCAACCACTGGCTGAGCAAGCAGTGGGACTATCAGACGGTGAGGGAGTGCCTGGGCATTTCGGTGGCCACGGGGGCAGCATGGCAGAAGTATTGCTCGGAGGTGACCGAGCACTGGCTGGATAATCAGGAGCCGATTGGCGGACCAGACATTGTCGTTGACATAGACGAGACCCTGTTTGGGAAGCTGAAGTACGAGAAGGGCAAGTCGCTCAGCCAGATTTGGGTGTTTGGGGGCATAGAGCGCGACAGCAAGAACTACTTCATTTTCCCGCTAGAAGAACCTCTGAGTCAAAATCTGATGTCGTTGATCCAGAAATTTATTCTTCCAGGAAGCGTCATTGTGAGTAACAGGTGGAATGCTTACAGCTCCATCAATAATTACGATTACATTCATCAAGTGATAAACCACTCCGGGGACTCCACGGATGAGGAGAACGCCCAAGCCCACACACAGAGTACTGAACTGCTGTGGCGCGACATCAAGGAGTGGACCCCAGGACCTGGTAATCGGCTTCAGTTTTATAAACAGTATTTGTCTCGGCTCCTGTTTCTGCAGCACCACACCTTCAGCAACATCAACCACTACTTCTTTCGTGAGGTTGCGAGAATGTACCCCCCAGGCCTTGAAACGGAAGAGACGTCTTCTGATTCATGCAATGACGTCCAGAAGGAACCCAATGATCATGAGGACAAGGAATCTGAAGTGTCAGATTAAGGTAAAAGTTCCTGCTCAATAAATTCCAAAGGGTCAGTATTGTGGCTTTTTTTTGGAGTTTTAGGGACACTCTAACATTACAGAAACAGGAGGGTCCAAGGGTAAATGACCTTGACATAGATTCAGGGATTCAGAACTTGAAGGTCAGAGCTAGAGAGTTGAGTTAGGTGTTACTACTGTTAACCTGATAGGTGTAGGGATTTCAGCCATACTTTTAAAATTCCAAATATGCATTTTGTTTCAATTAATATGAAATTTGGTATTATAAAACATTGTCCCCTTGTTATTTATTAGATGCTACAAGGAAGGCCAGCTATCTTAATTGTACATTTTTGTGTTGGATGTTGGATCCAGGTGTTCCGCTGCCCACACATGGCCCAAAATCCAGGTCCTAGGATTACTCGAGCAGCCATTCTACTGGTTGTATTTTGTAGGCCAGAGCGCTCAAACTCCTCTGTGGGGTATCAAGACTCCATCTCTCCCCTTTGCTATGTTATTATCTCTTTTTCTCTATAAACATTCTTTTGCTTGTTTGCCATTTTCCAATGTGCACTCATGGCAAGTCATTTGTCTTTCCAGCCTTCGCACAAAATTTCCCATTACATGTTCACGTCACCCAACCAAATTTTTCATTATATGATCATCAGGTCATCTGGATCCAAGGTGTTAATTATCCACACAACAGAAAACGAATCACTTCTGCTGCTTTGACCCAAAACCCAGAATTTCCCCCAACCACCAACAGTGCTGTGGGTAGAGTTGGTGCAAATTTGTAAACGAGGATTCTGTGCCAGGAATTATCAATGGATTCTTTCAAACAGATGTAAATGTATGAGTAATACAGCATTCATTGTATTATGTGCTTATTCCAAATTAACCATACTCAAAGTATTGCTTGTCATAGATATACACCTGCTGTGGCCTTAGACACTTTGGTGGGTGTGATCCTGGGCTCAAGAATTACCATTTTATAAAGTAATATTGGCTAAGAATATGCTGAGGCTACAGAAAGCAAAGCCTTTTCCTGACTAATTTACCTGAAACTTTCAATGATTCTTATGGTATTTTATGTCCAAATCAAGAAAAACTCATAGAATCAGTGAAACTGATGATAAAAACTCCCAAGTATTAACCAATAACTTTCAACAACAAATTCCCCATTATATTTCATTCATCTTATCAAGTTCCCCTCTGGATATACCAAATAACCGAAACAAAATTTTGAATTGAGCTGAAAGTTCAAGAGTGACCAGTGAATCTTAGCCTGTAGTGCATATATACATAGATACATATATTTATATTTATATTTATATTTATATTTATATTTATATTTATATTTATATTTATATTTATATTTATATTTATATTTATATTTATATATTTATATATTTATATATTTATATATTTATATATTTATATATTTATATATTTATATATTTATATATTTATATATTTATATATTTATATATTATATATTATATATATATTATATATATATTTATATATATATTTATATATATATTTATATATATATTTATATATATATTTATATATATATTTATATATATATTTATATATATATTTATATATATATTTATATATATATTTATATATATATTTATATATATATTTATATATATATATTTATATATATATCTCCTCTTCTCTGTCTCTTTCTCTACTTCCTCTCTTCTCTCTCTCTCTCCCTCCTCTCCTCTCTCTGTGTGTGGTGTGTGTGTGTGTGTGTGTAATCGACAAATGTGTGTATGAGTATGCATCCCTACCCTCTCTCTCTTAGTATATAATATATCTATTCTATATATCTAATACTCTAAGTCTATCTATAGATCTAACCGTATATATGTATATACATATCCGTATATATGTATATACATATACGTTATATGTATATACATATACGTATCTATGTATATACATATACTTATATATGTATATACATAACGTATATATGTATATACATATACGTATATATTATATACATATACGTATATATGTATATAAATATACGTATATATGTATATCCATATACGTATATATGTATATACATATACTATATATGTATATACCTATACGTATATATGTATATACATATACGTATATATGTATATACATTACGTATATATGTATATACATATCCGTATATATGTATATACATATCCGTATATATGTATATACCTATACGTATATATGTATATAAATATACGTATATATGTATATAAATATACGTATATATGTATTATACATATACGTATTATGTATATACATATACGTATATATGTCTATACATATACGTATATATGTATATAAATATACGTATATATGTATATAAATATACGTATATATGGTATATACATATACGTATATCTGTATATACATATACGTATATATGTTATATACATATACGTATATAATGTATATACATATACGTATATCTGTATATACATATACGTATATATGTTATATACATATACGTATATATGTATATACAGATACGTATATATGTATTATACATATACGTATATATGTTATATACATATACGTATATCTGTATATACATATACGTATATCTGTATATACATATACGTATATATGTATACATATACGTATTATGTATATACATATACTATATATGTATATACAATATACGTATATATGGTATATACATATACGTATATATGTATATACATAACGTATATATGTAATATACATATACGTATATATGATATATACATATACGTATATAGTATATACATATACTTATATATGTATATGCATATACTGTATATATGTATATACATTATGTATATATGTATTATACATATACGTATATAATGTATATACATATACGTAATATGTATATACATATAGTATATATGTATATACATTACGTATATATGTATATACTATACGTATATATGTATATACATAGACGTATATATGTATATACATAGACGTATATATGTATATACATATACGGTTTTTTTTTATATATGTATAACATATACGTATATATGTATATACCTATACGTATATATGTAATACATATACGTATCTATGTATATACATATCCGTATATATGTATATCATATACGTATATAGTATATACATATACGTATATCTGTATATACATATAGTATATATGTATATACATATACGTATATTATGTATATACATATACGTATATAGTATATACATATACGTTATATGTATATACATATACGTATATAATGTATATACATATACGTATATAATGTATATACATATACGTATATAATGTATATACATCTACGTATATATGTATATACATATACGTTATATATGTATATCATATACGTATATATGTATATAAATATACGTATATATGTAATATACATATACGTATAATGTATATACATATACGTATATATGTAATACATATACGTATCTATGTATATACATATCCGTATATATGTATATACATATACGTATATATGATATACTATACGTATATATGTATATACAGATACGTATATATGTATATACCTATACGTATATCTGTATATACATATACGGATATATTATATACCTATACGTATATATGTATATACAATACGTATATATGTATATAAATATACGTATATATGTCTATACATATACGTATATAGTATATACATATACGTATATATGTATATACATATACGTATAATATGTATATACATATACTTATATATGTATATACATATAAGTATATATGTATATACATATACGTATATATGTATAACATATACGTATATATGTATATAACATATACGTATATATGTATATACATATACGTATTATGTATATACATATACGTATATATGTATATACAATACGTATATATGTAATATACATATACGTATATATGTAATATACATATACGTATATAATGTATATACATATTACGTATATATGTATATCCATATACGTATATTATGTATAACATATACGTATATTATGTATAACATATACGTATATTATGTATAACATATACGTATATTATGTATAACATATACGTATATTATGTATAACATATACGTATATTATGTATAACATATACGTATTATGTATATACATATACGGATATATTGTAGATACAAACTTATTATTGTAATATAATCATATACGTATATATGTAAGATACATATACGTATATAATGTATATACATATTACGTATATATGTATATCCTATACGTATATATGTATTACATATACGTTATTGTATCTACATAACGTATATATATGTATACATATACGTATCTATATGTAGTACATATACTATAGATGTATTATACATATACGCTATATATGTATCTACATATACGTATATATTTATAATACCATTATTCGTATTATGTATCCTACATATACGTATATATGTATAACAGATACTTATATATGTATCACATATACTTATATGTATATACATATACGTATATATGTAGATACATATACGTATATATGTCTCTACATATACGATATATGTATATACATATAACGTATATATCTTATATTTATACTCTACGTTAATATTATGTAATATACATATACGTATATATTATATCATATACGTATATATGTATATACATAATACGCTATTATTTATAGCAATCTACGTATATAGTATATACATATACTATAAATTACGTATTTTCATTACGTATATATGTATATACATCTAACGTATATATGAAATATATACATTAATACTATACTATTTATATCCATATCCGTATATATGTAATCTACTAAGAATACGTTCTATATGTAATATACATATATCGTGATTATTGTATTTCATATTACATATCCTTTATCTTGTCAGTATACTTACTACTCTATAGTGTTATACATATACTTCATATTATGATACATATACTGTATATATGTAATCTACATCTACATATATACATATACATACTATCATATATACATATAACTATATAACAATATCTACATAATTATACATATTATTATTATATATAGTAACTATATTATATATTACATATTCATATATATATACATATATATATCCTAGATATTAAAACGCAAAATATATATATCTATATTTATATTATATATATCATATTACATATATATACCCCATATATATCCATATATATATATATATATCATACATATACATATACATATCTCCATATCCATACTATCATCATACAATAATCTACATCTATATATATATATAATATATATCTACATATCCATATATCTAACATAATATACATATATATATTATATAATTATATATATATCTATATAGATATATACATATATATAACATATATATACCTATATTATATATATATAATATACATATCCATATATATACATAATATATATATATATATAGATATATCGATACCTTATTCTATATATCTATATATATATATATCTATATATACTATATATACATATAGCTAGCTATATCTCTATATCTATAATCTATATAGATATAATATATATCTCTAGACTATATCCATCTCTCTCCCTTCTCTAATCTATCTACTATATATCTATCTATCATCTATCCTCTCTCTCTATCTCTCTCCCTCTCCCTCTCTATACCTATCTCTCTATATCATCTCCTCTCCTATATATATATACTATACTCCTTCTCCCTCTTATAAAAACCTATTATCTATATCTCATTCTCTCTCCATTCTCTCTCGTTCGTCTACCTACTATATATATCTCTTCCTCTCCTCGCTCGCTCTATCTTTCTACCCTCTCTCTCCTCTCTCTCTTCTCTCCCTCTCTCTCTCTCTCTCCTTCCTCTCCCCTCTCTCGCTCTCCTCTCTTTCTACTCCCCCTCTCTCTCTCCTCTCTCTCTCTCTTCTCTCCCTATCTACTCCTCTTTCGTTCCCCCCTTTCCTCCACCTCTCTCTCTCTCTCTTCTCTCTCTCTCTCTCTCCCTTCTCTCTCTCTCGTCCTCTCCTCTCTCTCTCCCCCCCCTCTCTCTCTCTCTCAATCTCTCTCTCTCTCCTTCTCTCTCTCCTCCCGTCTGTTTCTCCCTAGTCCTTCCTCTCCCTATCCCTTCTCCTATTCTCTCTTCTTCTTTTCTCTCTCTCGTCTCTCTCTCCTCTCCTCGCTCTCTCTCTCTTCCTCTTCTCTCTCTCATTCCTCTCTTCTCTCTCTCCCTAGCCTCCCCCTCTGTCTCCACCTGTATACTACCGCATAATTATAGTTTTCTTTACATGTCTCACTGTTCTCTCCGGTTGGGGTACTTTGTTGCGGTTCAATTTATTTGGTCTGCCATAGGAAGAAGAAGTCCGGGGGAATAGAGCCCAAGCCAGAACCCAATGCCGCCAGGGAAAATTAACCAAAAATGGGGAAAATGCTGTGCCTATTTCCTATATTTTTTTGTGAAATGTTTGCCCATAGATGGCTCTGTTAGTGCCTGATTTGAAATGGCGGGAAAAAGTATTTTTCACTAGTGCCATGAATATCGATGGTGTTATTTTTATTATAAACATAATTTTTATAAGGTTTTTTAACTTTAGTAACAGCAAAATAAGCTAACGTAAAATATTTCATAAATCAAAGAAAAGGGTAAAGTAAAGTTACATACTCATAACTGGCTCATTGGTGATTTAGAACAAGTGTTGCCATCTATGCGTAAAAACAATCAAACAAGTAACTCACAATGGGCATAGCATGTACATACACGTGTTCATGTTACCCGTCGACATTGGGTTAAACTGTGATAGGCAACCATAGTTGCGATTCTAGAATATTATTCATCACATGTTAGGTAACTATAGTTCACAGCCTTAGAAAATGTGTTTGTTCCCTGGCAATGGGTGTCTTTACCTCCTGTCTTTTCTGCCAAGGACATCCTACTATTCTACAATGCCATGTTTTGAGGAATATCTTAGCAATATAAGATTAGAGGAGAAATTTGTAAATGCTTAATGAATGGAATTAATTGCTCAAATGAACAAAGAAAACATGAAATTGAAGTAAAATAGAATATGTATCTTATATTGCTTGTTTTACTGAAGATGAGTACAGATGATTATGAGTGTTATGATTACATACGTCTTGAACAATAGAATAATAAATTCTTGTGTAATATTAGTTTGCTTGAGGCATCCATTTTGTAAATTTTAGTTTTGCTCTGGGTACAAAATTAGACAAAGAAAAAAAAAAGAACAGTCAATCAATCAATCATTATACCGTTTGGCAACAAGTTTACTTAAGTGAGGACTCCAGTGCATGTTGGTTGTAAGCCTAACCCGCACAAATGCTCATGTGCAGTGTCCCCTTTGAAATGTTATTTCTTTTTCTGCATGAGCATTTTTTTTGCTTATTTGTCATATTCCAATATCCATATTTGTCATTTTGATATGCTGTATCCACAGACTCCACATCATCTCTCTAGGTATTTCAGACTCAGATAATTTTCTTCTTCTTCTAATTCTTCTTCTTCCTCCTCCTTTGATGTCTAGAACATTTATTTTGCTTTGTAAACATTAACTATTACCACACATGGTACATTCCATCTTCACACTTGTTTACCTGTAGGAATAATGCAAGAGCCCTTCCTAAATGCCCACCAAGTATAATCATTTCTAATCAAATTTTTCCATGGTATATTCATGTCACCCAGCCTTTAGCCAATTTTTTTTAGTGACATGGTCATGTCACCAGGATCCAAAGGGATAATAAAACCACTTTATAGAAAATCATCTCTGAGTATTCTTAGTCAGAAATGAAATCTGTACGGTCACTTCCAACGAGGAAAGCATTTACAGTTTTTACCATTAATTATAATATTAAAACTATTCCAGTCATTCAGCAAGCTAAGATGCATCACTCTCATCCTTTGAGTTCTCAAAAGACTTTATTAATACTAGTACTACTTCAAAAATCCTTTCTATACCTCACATTCATGGTGTGTTAAAGAGTTAGTTAACCCATTGCCAACGGGCCCACTGAGAGTTTACTTATTTGATTGCTTTTACCCATAGATGGCTACACTTGTACTAAGTCACCAATGAGCCAATTATGAGTTCTGCCTATCTCGCCCGTTCACCCTTTTCTTTAATTTTTGAAAACCTTATGTTTATGAATAAAATAACACCATTGATATTCATAGCACCAGTAAAAAAAAAATACATTTTCCCGCTAGTTAAAGGAAAGATGAAATCAGGTAAGGCAGAGCCATCTATATGTAAAAACATTTCACAAAAAAATATAAAAAATGAGCACAGCATTTCCTCAATTTTTATTATTCATTTTCCCTGGTGCCAATGGGTTAACCACTGAGATTTATTAATGTGATTTTAGTTTCCTAATATGGTTTTTAAAATTCATGCTAATCTTTCTATTGATATGAATATTTTCTAAAGATTGTCTTTCATACCAGGTTTGCATTCTCACTGAATTATTCTCTATATCTAATGAAATACAGAATTAGAGGTCTTCTTAGACGGCGGCAGCCTTTCAAGATTCATAGAGTTTTTATAACATAGTAGTCTGTTATAATCTTCAGGTATAAATAACAGCAGTTGCATTATAGGATTTCAGATTCATTGCTATTTGTGTTTGTTGCAGATGGAGGAAACACAAGGAACGCAGAATGAGGAAAAGCCAACACAGCAAGAGTGTCGAGCAGACTTGCGAGAGAGATTCTTATGGGCCATTACTTCCTTGGTAGGGAAGGAAGCAACCATCAATATGCACGAAAACACACATGCTAGTGGGATATTCCGTGGTATTGATAAAGACATCCTGAGTATGCACATTCAGGACTTGAAAACCCCTTGCATTGTCTATCCTCGGGCAATGATTCGTGTACCTGACTGCATGACTGTGCATTTCAAGTTATAGCAGTGTCTTGGCCATTTACCTGATAGTTAGATATATATTTGCATTTGTTATATATATTTTTTATTAAAAGATGAAAAAGTCAAGTTTATTTTGTTGTCATCCCTGTAAGTTATGGCTGAAGATAATAAAAAATCTCAATCTATTTTTAGACATATATTTTCTTTCATACATGAAGTTACAGAATAACCTCTAAATTACATTAAATAACCTATTTACACTTTAGTTATAAAAAAAATGTACTCAACATTTGGAGAAAATAGGGCAATGTTACATTGATTGGGTCTTTTAAATAATTTTTCTTAAAAGAATGTATAACATAATCCAGACCAAAAGGGAACCTGGTAACACTAATTTGCCAGAACAAACATAACCTGAAGTAATAAAATTGTTGAAGATATATGAACCAACAACAATTACCAGAACTGTGGCCACTCCCTCTCCATGGCCCAGAATTATCTACATCTTTCTACTTTTTTTTTTCTCAATCTTGCAATCTTAATTAGATACAGCCTGCTTGGTGGCTTCAAATTGGGCCATGCGTTCCTCAATCACTGGTCTGAAGTGGCGGATCAGGCCCTGCACTGGCCACGCTGCTCCATCACCCAAAGCACAAATTGTATGCCCTTCAATCTGCTTGGACACCTCCCACAGGGCATCAATCTCTTCCGGACGTGCATCTCCCTTTACTGTTGAAAAGCAAGAAAAAAAAAATTTACATTTTGGTTACAATCCCTAAATAATGATTATAACAATTTCTTTAAACTCTTCTTCTATACCACTTTTTGACTGAAAATTTACATCCATTCCTTTGTAAGTGTCATAGGAAAATCAACTCATCCCTATAGGCTGCAACTAAAAAACTATTTGAATCTCTTTGTATTAAGTCAAACTATTACCAAATAATTAGTTAATGGATTTCAAAAAGAAAATGTCTATGTAAACATTTTATTGCCTTCTCACAATACAGGAAGGTAAAAGTTTTAGAAAACTTACCAAATCTGCCCATAATCTTGTGCATCCAGTTGACTCCCTCACGGCAAGGGGTGCACTGGCCACAGGATTCGTGCTTGTAGAATTCAATTAGGCGAGCAATAGCCTTGATAACGTCTGTCTGCTTGTTCATCACAATGATGGCAGCTGTTCCGAGAGAGGTCTGGCAAGCCACCAGGCCATCAAAGTCCATGATTGCTTCTTCACAAACCCTGAGAAAAGTTCACTACGTTAGTAAAACTTACTAAATTCCAGGTATAAAGCACTATATTATTTATAATAATTCAAAAGTATGTTCATCAAAATCCTAACTGTAATTTTGTCAAGAAAAAATACTGTGGAAAAAAATAAATAAATAAATAAAACCCCAAAAACACCTGTATATAAAACACCTCTACATCTCTCACATCAACCTTTTCTCTAAACACTGGTTTTCTTACTTCTGTGGAATGATGGGTGTTGAGGAACCACCTGGGATGATGCCAAGCAAGTTATCCCAGCCTCCTGTTACACCACCAGCATGGCGCTCGATCAGTTCCCTCAGATTAATTGACATTTCCTCTTCAACGGTGCAAGGATGGTTGACGTGGCCCGAGATGTTGAAGAGCTTGGTTCCACTGTTACGGGTGCGTCCCAGCCCGGCGAACCAACTTCCACCACGGCGACAGATAGTCTGTTGTAAAGAGAATGGTTATTGAAGTGTTTTTTTTTTTTTCTTCTTCTTCTTCAAGTTCTTGCTCTCCACTTACTTCCTTCCAAAATTCTTTCATACATAAATGCAAGACAATTAGAAATGAACAAAAAAGACCAACTATTCACCAAGGTCATTGCAAACAGCTGAATGTGTGAACAATTCTTTTCACAATGGTTGTGGAAAGCATTTAATTATAAAATACATATCTATTACGTATACGATAAAAGGAATTATTACATATATATTTCATTTATACACTTGAAGCAATTTCTCCAACTTTTTCCAACTTTCACTCATATGAGTGGGGTCACTGATAACTTTTTCAATATTGCACTATATACAAAATACAACGACTACTTTGTATCAACACCACATAAACAAGTGAGATTAACTTACAGGAGCAACAGCAACAGTCTCCACATTGGCAACAGTTGTGGGGCAACCAAACACACCCACATCAGCAGGGAATGGGGGCTTAAGACGAGGCTTTCCCTGCTTGCCCTCCAAGGACTCAATGAGGGCAGTCTCCTCACCGCAGATGTAAGCTCCTGCACCACGGTGCATGAACACATCAAAATCAAAGCCAGAACCACAAGCATTCTTGCCAATGAAGCCAGCTTTGTAGGCCTATGAATAAAAAATAGTATTAAATAATATGGTTTAAAGTGAAATATTTACTTAACCCCTACGATCTAGATGACGTGACCATCATGTCATAAAAAATTTGGCTCGAGGAGTGGGTGACGTGAGCATGCCATCATGGGGAAATGTAGATGTGGGCTGGGGTGACAAACTTACTAACAAGACCATTTCCACTGAAGGCTGTGTGACATGAAAAACTTGCCATGGGTCCACTAAACTCTTGGAGGGTGATTAGGCTCATTTAGCATTTATAAAGGGGCTTTTGCTTTAATTCCCATTGATAAAAAAGGGTGGAATGTAACTAACTCGACAGGTAATATGGAATGTGAAAGGAAAACAGTCTATTACCATCTGGATAAAGCAAATCAAATGATAAATATGGACATTGGAAAAGGAAAAAAGCTAAAAAAAATTTATACATAAAAAGAGAAAATAACATTGCAAAGGGGAGCCACAGAGTCATGTCATGTGCACATGGCCTACAAACCATGCACCCATCAAAGCAGCCATTTACATAAGACTAATGCCAGTATTTTGAGTCACGTGATTAATGGGAAGCATCCCGATCCAATAGGTTAAGAAATGACAATAAAAGGAAACATTACTTAACCCCTTGCCGCCGGGTGACGGCGATACGCGTGTAAACAAATCGCTCGAAAGGTGGCGTGCGGCCAAACCAGCCGGCGGCGCGCCAAAGCGCGGCGAGCCAGTGATTCGGGCTGACGCCCCGTACTCCGGCGCTCAAAGTCGGCGCGCTGCCTTTGTTTGCCAGAGCGTAGAGTTTTATTTTCCTTTAGTACACCCGGCGTCATTGGGTTAAAATCAACAATGACTAACAGAAGTTTCTCTTTTAACCCCTTGGTGCCGGGTGACGCCGATCGGCGTGTACACAAAGAGCTCGAAAGCTGGCGTGCAGTCGAACGAGCCGGCGGCGAGCCAGTGATTCGGGTTGATATCCCCTACTCACGCGCTAAAAGTCGGCGCGCCGCCTTTGTTTGTTTAAGCATAGAGTTTTTTTTTTCTTTTGTACACCCGGCGCCATTGGGTTAAATCATTATCGTGCTTGATGAAAAAAAAGTAATAATAATAAAAAATTAAAAAACTCACCTCATTAATTGCAACTTGCATGTTAGAAGCTTCATTGTAGAACTCGCCACGAATGTAAATGTAAGCAGCCCTAGCCCCCATTGCACGTCCGGCAACCAAGCAACCCTCAACGAGCTTGTGAGGGTCATGGCGCATAATCTCCCTGTCCTTGCATGTGCCAGGCTCTCCCTCGTCAGCATTGACCACCAGGTACTTGGGTCTGCCATCAGAGCTGGAGAAAGGGAGAAGCTGCCTTATATATTTACTTAAGAGTAATAGTTATGGAAAGCAAAATTAGATGAAAAAAACATGATAGTGTGCAACAATAAAAGGGCTAAATTTGTAAAAAGAAAAAAAAAAATCTATCCTATCCCAGGGGAGAAGGAATCGAGACGAGATGAGGGTTGCCTTCACACTTACGGCTTATTCATGAAGCTCCACTTCATGCCCGAAGGGAAGCCAGCACCTCCACGCCCTCGGAGACCTGAGGCCTTGATCTCATTCAGAATCCAATCATGCCCTTTCACAATGATCTCTTTGGTCTTGTACCAATCCCCACGGGCAAGAGCACCCTTTAGCCTCCAGTCATGTCGGCCATAGAGGTTGGTGAAAATGCGGTCGGCATCAGCCAAAGGTCCATATGCCTGGAAAACATTGGTTAAGGTTAAGACAATGTTATTAGATTAAAGGATTTTTTTTTTATTACTTAAAACCCAGTATGGTATAAGAATAAAAGGTTCATGTTAAATTAGAGCTCTGCAAGATACTAAAATTATCCAAAATTAAAAAAGGACATAAAAACCCATAACCACTAAAACTACAATTTGGTTTGTCAAACAGTGAATAAAAAAATTAAAAAGTCCAGCCTAAAAATGCAATTAAATTAAGCAAAGGCATAAAAAAAAAAACTGAGTTTGAACTGTGTTCCTTTGCCACAGCGCTGAAGGTACAAAGGCATGGAGGCCACAGTGAACACTTCAGGTCACTGCTGATGGATCTTCGACAATTAGCTGTGGGGTTACCTCCAGATTATTTTCTACCGCTAGTAATGTTACCCTCTTTGTCTTTGCCAAGTCCCATCAATTAACACATTTTTTGACCTTGCAACTTTTAGTCTTCTCCTTACCACATTACCCATTTGACCAAGTCTCAATAGATCCCCACTGATACAGATGTCGTTCAACCACTACAATTTCAATCCTTTATATAACAATTTTCATCATACAATGCTACTATACACCTGAAGCCATATATCACATACAAGAAAAATTGTTACCAAGTATTTACATTACTTTTTTCCTTGATGATCTGGTATCTGAAGATGGATCACATCAGTGTTGTCAATGAAAACTGATCGTCTACAACCAACTATATAACTTTGGGTTGCTTGCAACATAGATCTAAACACAAGGCAACAGCAAAATCTTGTTGAATATTTATATAGAACAAATTTATGGGATGGCACATATATAATGACACTATACAGCACTGATCAACACTGATATTGGCACTTCATAAATTGATTAAAGCAGAAATTGTCTAAAGGACACATACATTTCAGCCCATCACACAAGATGTGCCAGTCTGTAGGGGTTGTGCAATCACAGTTAACCCTTCACAAAGAAGTGAAAAAGGATTACCTTAGAATTTATCAATCATGTGTGGTTCTCCATTACCCCCATCCCAACTGCCCTCATAGCATTTTATTCCTAAAACTATGAATGGTGTGCAGAAAT